CTATTTGATGATCACAAGGCTGTGATGGAGCGCACTGGCCTTGATCACCGCTATAACTATGTGCCATAGGTGTTTATGCCTGACAGGAGAGTCTTTCCTAACATATACAACATTATTTGATGATTATGATATGTTGGTTCAATTGATGCAATGTTAGTTCAATTCATTCATTGACCAGTTGATTGAATTGATATATATGATGTAACCTCTCCACAGTACAGTACAGATTGCATTAGACACCAGAACTTGGCACCTATAAGAGTAGCTCCCTGCCTTTCAGCAGCCTGTTAATCAGTTGGTTCAATCTTATTTGAAATTGATAGCAATCCAAATTTAGATTATGGTTTTATACATTCTAAATTTGGAATCAAAATTTAGATTAAGGTTTTATCGATTCTAAATTTGCAATCCAAATTTAGATTAAGGTTTTACCAATTCTAAATTTGCAATCCAAATTTAGATTAAGGTTTTATTAATTCTAAATTTGGATTCCAAATTTAGATCTATTTTTCATTAATTGAAATCTAGCATCATCACTCATAATCCAAATGTTGATTGTAGTGTCAACTTTGAGCTTTATAGGAGATATTTGTAGATAATAATGTTGATATGAATTAATTAAAATATTAATATCTACAAAACTGAAACCAACAGGCGCTGAATATTTTGGAGCATGGTCACTGTGAATAGTGCAGATGACAACACTACACAAGATTTGAATGTCAAGATGTGGTGGAAAACAATCAGTAGGGTGCGCAGCTGTGAAGCTTCATGTGTCAACACTTAATACTATATACAGTTGAGATTCAGTTGACATACATGTGATAGTGTAATGTATTCTGACATGATTGTCATGAGATGTATTAGCTTGGAGACAGTGTCGATGTTTACATGTGATGTAGACATGTTATAGTTGATGACTTCATGTGAAGCTGTCTTTGGTTGGTTATGAACAATATGCTAGCCTTCCTTTAAGCTCAAATATGTAGAGTAAGCTGACCAAGCTTTCATGTAGCCTGATGGGCTTCATCATGGCCTGTTGTACTCCATCATCTACATGTATGGCTCTGGGCCCTGGGCTATGGCAAGTGAATGTATT